GCTAAAAACGCGCTCCAGTGCTGGCGTTTAAGGCTGTGGGATTCGCAGCTTGTGCTCGCTGGGCCGGCGCGAAGCCCGCAGAGGTGTGTGCGGGGCAGCGAGGCTGGAGAGCCGGGGGGCACGGCAGGGGAGGGGTACGTGGGTTCAGACGCGTTGGGGTCACCTCATCTCATTGTGGAGTCCTGCGTGGTACAAAGCCCATCCACCTTGGACTTTCATTTCAAGCACGTAATATACCCTTGATTTGCAAATCTTCATAGGGATTTGCTCTTTCACCCGCCAGGGACTGGAAGGTACTATAAGGTCTCTCCAGAGCATTCTCTTCTCCAGGCTGAACAACACCAACTCTCTCAGCCTGCCTTCATCAGGAGGTGCTCCAGTGCTTGGGTCATCTTCATGGCTCCCCTCTAGACTCACTCCAAAACTCCATGTCCTTCTTGTTTTGGTGGTTCAAGAACTAGACACAGTACTCCAGGTGGGGTCTCATGAGAGCTGAGCAGAGAGGCAGAATCACTTCCCTTGACCTGCTGGCCATGTTTCTTTTGCTGCAGCCCAGGATACCATTGGCTTTCTTGGCTGCAAGCACACATTGACAGCTCATGTTGAGCTTCTCGTCATCCAACACCCCCAAGTCCTTCTCCTCAGGGCTCCTCTCAATCCGTTCTCCACCCAACCTGCAATGGTGCTTGGGATTGCCCTAACCCAGGTGCAGGACCTTGCACTTGGCCTTACTGAATTTCATGAGGTTGGCATGGGCCCACCTCTCAAGTCTGTCAAGGTCCCACTGGAGGGCCTCTTTTCTCTCCAGCGTGTCAACCACAGCACACAGCTTGGTGTCATCAGCAAACTTGTTGAGGATGGACTCAAGTCCCCTGTCCATGTTGCTGACAAAGATATTATGCAACACTGGTTCCAGTACCAACCCTTGAGGAATGCCACTCATCAATGATTTCCATTTGGACATTGAGACGTAGACCACTACTCTTTGAGTGCAACCCGCTGGCCAATTCCTTATCCACAGAGTGGTCCATCCATCAAATCAATATATTTCCAGTTTAGAGACCAGGATGCCATGCAGGATAGTGTCCCACCCTTTGCACAAGTCCAGGTGGATGACATCAATTGCTCTCCCCTTGCCCACCAACACTGTAACCCCATCATAAAAAGCCATCAAATACATCAGACATGATTTGCTGTTGGTGAAGGCACATTGTCTGTTGCCAGCCACCTCCACATTTTCCAAGTGCCTTAGTGGAGCCTTTAGGAGGATCTGCTCCATGACCTTACTGAGCAGGATACTTTTGTCTCCTTGAAAATATAGTTTGAGTCTTGTCTTGGTGCCTTCAGTAACATTCCCTGTAGTGGAAGCATATTAAGTTAGAAGGTGAGTACTTTGCATGCCTTTGAAGATATTAGGAAGCGAGATAGAAATTCAATGCAAGGACTTGGGACAGTGTACTTTGGTGTAAGTACAGAAAAGTAATCACGCAAATCCTTCTAGTGCTAAGACTGGAGGTACTCAAGACCCTATGGTTTTGGCAGTAGCATGTTGCTCACTTTCTTAATGTATAACTTGAGTCTAACAATTCGCTGATACTCCATGTTTTACACTTGAGCACTTATAAAAAAAATAAAGCCCGTCCCTTTTCATATTGGCTAATACTTTTGTACTACCCTGAATGAGGTACTTTAAGCACAGGGAAAACAAGCGTTTCAAAAAAAACCCCAAACCCCACCAATTCACACTTAATCTTCCCAGAGGTAATCTATCTTCTAGGGCTTTTGAGTAGCAGAAATTTCTGGCTGAAAAAAAGTGTTTATTTCTTTTTAAATTAGAGATGCAAAAGTAATTGAGCAAAATCTCTCTTAATATATACCAATTTAAACCCTTTTGTTTAATTAGCCCTTAATATCAGGTTTGTTTGTTTTTCCTCTTGAAATATACAATTAAAAGAAATATTATAGAATCATAGAATTGTTAGGATTGGTAAGAACTTTAAAGATCATCTAGTTCCAATCCCCTGCCATGGGCAGGGACACCTCCTGCTAGATCAGGCTGCTCAGAGCCCCATCCTGCCTGGCCTTCAGTTATACAGGCACTATATCTAGTCTCTTTGGAAAATAAATGGACTGCACAAACACACTGCTGCTTACTGTATTTATAGAAATAGAATCTGACATTTATATGTGTCTATAATGTAGGGTTCTGGTTTGGTTCCTTGCAGAAAAGAAGACAGGATTTGCTTTATGTTAGTGCATCAACATTTAAATAACATAATTAGAAAAATGTTTCCTCCACTGTTCTGCAAAATGTCGTTATACTAACTTGAGTTTTGTAAGTAGTAAATAACTCATTCTTAAGTGAGAGTTGAGTATTTAAATTCTTCACATGACTTTTTGCAGTGCCTGGACATTATTTGGAATGTAAGTAAAAGACACGTCTTTGACTCAAGCAGGTGGTAACTTACTGTTTGGCAATCACTAACACTGTTGCTATGTAAACAATTATTACAGCTCATGTGATGTTTCTTTATACTTTTTAAGGCAGGAGGTAGCCAGTAACAACATATAATTTGAACAATGATCTTTGTTTTTGTCAGCAGCATTAGCACATTGTTCTTCAAAAGATCATTAGGAACTGCAAGGAGTAACAAATACCAGTTATTTTGCTTCACTAGACTTGAGGACATCAGTGTGATATTTCAAAGAAGGTCTACGTATTTTGATTTATTGTGCTTTGAATAAATTATATTAAAACACTGGCACTATAAAATATAACTAATGTAGCTTCACTGGATTCTTGTAGATGATAAATTAGATATGAGCTGGCAATGTGCTCTTGCAGCCCAGAAAGTCAGTCCTTCTGTCCCTTCTTACATATGGGGGTTACACTGGCTGATTTCCAATCTGCTGGTACCTCTCCAGTCACCCAGGAAATTATGGAAAACGGCTTGATGAGCACCCCTACCAGCTCTTTCAGCACTCGGGTGCATCCCATCTGGGCCCATAGATTCGTGCACATCAACATGGTGTAGCAGGCCACTGACCTCCTGAGTTGTGGGGGAATTGTTCTGCTCCTGGTTCCTGTTGCCTAGCTTAGGGAGTTGGGTTCCTTCAACAAAACTCGTCCTGTTACTAAAGACTGAAGTGAAAAAGTCATTAAGCCTCTCAGCTTTTCTTCATAATTCATCACGATGTTTCCTCCTGCATCTAATAGGGGATGGAGGGCGTCCCTTGTCTTTCTTTTGTTGTTAATATATTTATAGAAGCTTTTCTTGTTGTCCTTTACCATGGAGGCCAGATTAATTTCCAGCTGGGATATGGATCTTCTAATTCCCTCCCTGCATAGCCCCACAGCATTTTTGTTGTAATAGTGAGTGGCCTGTCCCTTCCCCCAAAGGCCACAGATTTTCTCCCTGAGCACCAGCCAAAGATCCCTGTTCAGCCAGGCTGGTCTTCCATGCTGCCCACTTGCCTTACAGCACATGGGGATGGCCTGCTCCTGCATCTTCAAGACTTCCTCCTTGAAGAGTGTCCAGCCTTCCTGGACTCCTATACCCTTCAGAACACATTCCCAAGGGATTCAGTCAATCAGGCTGTTGAACAAGGTGAAGTTTGCCCTTCAGAAGTCTAGGGTGGCAGTTATGCTGCCCCCCTCCTGGCAATTCTAAGAATAGAGAACTTTTAACAATTTTTGGTTGCTGTGCCCAACTGTTGACCTCCAGCCATCAGATGTCCTACCAGCCTTTCCCTGTTCACAAAGAGGAGGTCTAGCAGGGACCTTGCCTGGTTGGTTCACTCACCAGCTGTGGCAGGAAGTTATCTTCGACACATTTCAGGAACCTCTGGGACTGTTCCCTCTCTGCTGTGTTCCAGCAGACATCAGGGAAGTTGAGGTCCCCCACAGGAACAACGGTAAATGACTGTGAGATTTACCTAGGTATTTATAGAACGGTTCAAAGAAGTCTATCACACTCTCACAGCAATATGAGCCTTGTTGGCCTCGCCCCTAACCCTGATCCAAATACACTCTACGTTGTCATCACTATTCTCAAGTTCTAGACACTCATAACAATTCCTAATGCATAGGGCCACCCCACTGCCTCTTCTTCCTTGTCTGTCTCTCCTGAAGAGCTGGTAGCCATCAGCTGTGACACTCCAGTTGTATGAGGTATCCCACTATGTTTCTGTGATAGCCACCACGTCATAGTTTTCTTTCTGCATCACGGCCTCCATCTCCCCTTGTTTATTGCCCATGCTGTGTGCATTAGTATAGGTGCACTTCAGACGAGTGAATGATCTCAACACCTTTTTGTGGGCACAGGCCTGAACCTTCTCAGGTATTTCCAAAGCATCAGTAACCTTTGCCTTTTTGCTTCCCATTATATCTCTATCCCCTACCTCAACTGAGGCAGAGTGAGAGGCTTCTCTAGCATACCATCATATCTACCATCCTACAAACCTTGGAATGCATCCCCTGTCTTTATTTACAGCAGGCTCAGTTTTATCCCCTTCCCCTTCAAAATTAGTTTCAAGCTCTGTCAATGAGCCCCACTAATTCCTGTCCCAGGATCCTTTTCTCACTATGGGACAGGTACATTCCGTTTGTTGTCAGGCCTGGTGTCTTGTATAGTAACCCATGATCAGAGAACCCAAAGCCCTGCTGATGACTTCAGTCCCAGAGCCATGAACTAAGCTGTTGGCTCTTCCAGTCAATTCCCTCATCCATCACTGCTATTAAGAGGGATGAAGGAGAACACAGCTTGTTTCCCCAGAGCCCTGAAACTTCTCTTGATTGCTTTTGATGTTCTCATTGCCACTTTCATCACTACCCACCCAAAAGACCAAAAGTGGGTAGTAATCTGAAGGCCTAACCAGGGTGGGAAGTTTCCTTACAACATCCTTCATCTGATCCCCAAGGAGGCAGCAGACTTCCCTCCCTTTGAAGCTGGTCCGATCTGCATATTTGGCCCTCTGCACCCCTCACGAGGGAGTCACCTACAACAATAATCCTTCCATTTTTCTTTCTAGACAGAGTTACGATGATTGATCTAGGTCCCTCGACCTGCTGGCCATGCTCTTCTTAATGCACCCAGGATGGCACTGACCCTCTTGGCTGTGAGGGCGCATTATTGGCTCATGAGGAGCCTGTTGTCCACCATGATTCCAGGTCTTTTTCCCCAGAGCTACTTTCCAGCAGGTCAACCCCTAACCTGTACTAGTGTATCAGGTTGCTCTTCCCCAGATGGAGTACTCCACACTTGGCCTTGTTGAACTTCATTAGGTTTCTCCCTGCCCAGCTCTCCAGCCTGTCCAGGTCATGCTGGATGGCAGCACACCATTCTGGTGTGTCAGCCAGTCCACCTAGTTTTGTATCGTCAGCAAATCTGCTGAGGGTACATTCTATCTCTTCTTCCAGGTCATCAGTGAATATATTGAACAGGACTGGACCCAGTACTGACCTCTGGGATACACCACTAGTCACAGGCCTCCAGGTGGACTCAGCCCCACTGACCACAACCTCTGGACTCTGTCCTTCAGCTGGTTCTTGATCCATCTCATTATCCAATTGTCCAGTCCACACTTCTCAAGTTTGGTTGTCAGGGTGCCATGGGAGAGAGTGTCAAAAGACTTGTTGAGGTCAAGGCAGACCATGTCAACTGCCCTCCCCTCATCAATCCAATTCTAGAGAAAACGGAGTATTTGGACAAGAAGTAGACATCAGAGTGATCTCTACTAGAAAGATTTAGATTGTGGTAGTCTGGCAAGTCACAGCAGGTAGATGGAAGTTCAGAGTATGTCCCATCATCTGTCTTTATATTGCTTGTAACAGCAAAACAAATTGTAAAAAACTTTGTTTACAAGGAAGATGCTCAAAATTAAAATGATGGAGAAACAGCATAGCTTGATTTGTGCAGATTTTGAAGGAGATCTAAATAAAATAAGAAAGTGCTGGCTGCAGTGTGTAATTTCAAACTTACTTGTTATGAAGTGATCTGGAACATGAAAGATCTGCTTAGAAGATTCCCCC